ATTTTAACAAAAGAATACGTTATTTGGGAAAACTAACTACAGCATGTTTCATTACTCATTAAGGGTTATCGATGAGCCAAAAATGAGCAAATTCGAATTTAGAACTTGTGCCACAAAAAGTCGATTTTGGTCGATATTTACAGACAGTCGCTCTTATATATATATATTTTTATTTTTAAAACAGCATTTTAAACAGGTTTAGTCATCAGTTTTTCATTTACCTAAAAAAGATCTTTCGCCACTGTCAATGTCATGAAAACACCTTTTTTGGGTTTTAGGTCGGACACGTTTCACCTAAAGTTAAATTCAATTCGTCACTCGCTAAATGATCTGATTTTTCCCAGGTCTGCATATGATTGCCCTTGATGCCTGATCCAGCAACAAAAGTTTACCTATTTATTAATAATTACTGATAAGAAATTGAGATAGTAATAATTAGCTAGGGCTCGTTTATCGTTTGCCTCACAATAGTAATTGGTTACCGCTTTCGACCCCTTAATGCTGCATTTCATTAGGCATTCGAAACGTGTCGCGATCATTAACAAAGCGACTGTATCGTGAGACAAAGAATTAACGAGACCTATCATACACAAACCACAAGAAGTAATAACTGTCCTTATAGAGTACCACGTTTTTGTGTTATGACATCAATGAAGTGATACGAATTACCTTTACACGTACGTAAAAACTCTTTAGCACTCAAAGATTGTTGATAGCTCAGCGTAAAACTTAAAGAATTTTGGAACTCGAAGTAGTCGGTAATTTGAATGTTATCCATTCCCTTCTCGCTTAAATTTCAAGTTATAAACTAATGGAACAAAGCGAAGTTATCACTGTAGCTTTCTACCAAGGGCCATCTTCAAACAAAGAAGAGACATGGTTCAAGTCTTGTTAGAGTAGTTATACGTAAAAGGCATTAGAAGAACAAAATAATATTAAAAGTCGATTTGCATAATCAAGCAGCCTTTAGAACCCAAATGCGTTTGCACAAGAGTAAGAAAACGGGTAGGAAGAACGCCATTTTTTTTATAAACAGGTAAAGCATTTGGATGAATGAGTGGCACACTCCAAACTCAAATAGCACCCCCCGGAGTCTTTTAAACACCAGGGCGAAGTATTTGAATAATATCGCCTGTAGCGCATCGTTTCACACGGCCGAAGACCAGATATAATTTCGAATAACTGAAATTATCATAACTCGTAACGTAGCCCACTCATGGCTTCAGATTGAAGTTGTTCCTAATCAAGTTACATCGCCTTACGCATTTCCTCACTTACATTGTGCAAAATACTTTGAATCTTTAAACTGAAAACAACGCAGTAATTCCCGTTCTTCAAGATTACTTAACATTAAGTATCAGAGCTTAATTTCTTTGCATATTACACTAAAACTATTGCTGCCCTAAACATAAGTTTAAGTTCCGACGTTCTTGCGTCTACTTTGATAGCGTCTAAATAGTTGCATGGAGACTTAAACTCAATCGGACTTTGCCTTTGCCTTGAAAATTTTCCTGGTTATTTCGTTTTTTATGCACGCAGGAAGATGTAACGTACTATCAATTATAATTTTCTTTTACGGCCTCAGAAAACAGTTGCAATATCAATGAGAACATGATCTAAATCAGTGAATTGAAATAAATCGCCTTTTGAAGAATTGTGAAAACATGGAAGTAGACATACATACCTTTTTGAACCAAGGTTAAATGCATTAAATGAATTAAGATAACTCCTATACAAAGGACTAAGAAGAAAAAGAAGAATTTTCTTGACATCATGCTACGCTGTACGCGGAAAAAAAATTAGTAACGTTTCCACTCGAGTTAAGCTGTTATTATGTCAGCGGCTCCCCGCTCGTTTCCCATCGCCCTCTTTTTTAAAAAAGGGGTCGGCCGGTTTGGCGAGCAAAATATAATATATATATCTAGCCGATTTTTTGAAAACCAACCTGACGAAATTTGCAGTCATTTGAGTGAAAAAGCGTCAAAAGGCAGGTTTCTTACGCCCGAGAAGCTCCAAGTCATAGTAACGAAGGAAAAGGAAAGGAGAAAAAGAAAGAGCGAGGAGAAAGAAAGGAGGAGTAGAAAAAAAGCAATGGCTGCGCTCTTAGTTTCATAAGAGCTACTTTGGAGATTTGGCCGAAAAAACCATTGGACGCAAAAGGTCTATTTGGCGATAACGTTATCAAAAATCCGGCTAGATATAAATTTAGCGATTAATGAATGAGGCTGAGTAGGATATGAAGAATTAAGCAGATCGAGGAGGGTGTTATCGTTGGATAACACCCTCCGAAACGAGTGAAACGAGTGAAGTGTCTGCCTCGTGCTCAGGTCTTTGTCGGTTAACGGTGCATTAACCTGTAGAAGGCTGCAATTTTGACGTCATTTCCTCGTTAAACACAAAATTCTTCTTGGTCATCAGTAACTGGTTATGGTGAATTATGCGTGCGCTTTTAGCCAATCAGAATTGGGGAAATATTTTGAATGAATAATAAATATATATATAATATCTAGCCGGTTGTGGCTCTGCATTTAAACTAGAATTCAAGCCACCACCGCAGCAACCACCATCACCGAAACGCTAACGACAAAGAAATGTTATATTGTTTAATCCACCATATAACAAAAACGTCAAAACCAACCCCGGAAGTGCTCTCATCAGCCCTATTGAAAGATCTTTTCGCGTGGGCCACAAACTGAGGAAAATTTTCAATAGGAACACCATAAAGCTCAGCTACAGCTGCATGCTCAACGTCAAGCAAATAATAGATGGCTACAACAAAGCCATCCTGAAGATAGCAGAAAAAGCTCAGCCACAGAAAGACGAAGGGAAAACGTGTAGCTGTAGGAAAAAAGAAGACTGCCCACTAAACGGAGAATGGCTGGTGAGAGAATTTATTTGTTTAGAATCCGACTGCCTTATATACACGATGATATCCTTGGAACGTGTCAACGCATATGTCATGTGGGAGAGACCCCTGGGAGAGATCCCTGGTGAAGGAAACGTATGCGGCTCTACAAAACACTGCTGTTATAAAAACTCCGGTAAGTCGCATGGTTCTTTTGTGAATGAAAGCGTTTCATCCAAACCCATTCCCTATTTTGAGAATGCTCGGTTAACAATTTAATGCGCAGGCATTGTAATGAGAAATAAAGGAATAACTAGTGAATGGAAATATATGTAATGAATCGTATTTTGAACAGCGGATAAAGATGTGAAAGTGGAGATCGTTAAATAAACAACCCAATCGGTCGAACAGGAAAAACAGAATAGGAAAAAATTCAGGCCTGACCAACAAAAGGGCCCTTGACAAAATCTGAATCAGACAGGATCGGTTCAACCCCTGAACACTATCCCAAACCTTTTGTCGTTAATCGAATAATGGGCTGAGTTGATCCTATCATCAGGCGAGATCCGGTTTTTTTGTCCAGTGATGAATCAAATGATGATTTGTCTTGAAAGCATTTCGCTACTGTGATAAAATACAAGTCTTAGCAAATTAACTACGGCATGCGCAAGATTCTAACGTTTTTGAGCGGCGGGAAGCTTGCCGCTCGCCCCTCACACACGCTCTCAATCTATTGTGGATTTTAATACTGATAATGTAGGTAGACAAAATTACTGGGTGAGACATGCGAAACTGTATTTTAATTTTAAAACAACAAGAGTGAGTAATAAAACTGAATATTTAATAGACTGCTGGCAGTCCTCCTTTCTCTTATATAAAAATCCGTCTAGTTCTCAGCCCAACCCCGTCCCTTCTAGGGTCTTCTCCTACTCGTCTCCCTGAGTGGAAGTAGGAGAGCTGTTGAGGCCTCAAATGTAATAACTGACCCTAAATGTAATAAAGGTCCTAAGTGTAATAACTTTTGACCCTAAATGTAATATATCGTGTTCACAGCATTCTGTATGGACCGATCGACATACTCTTTTGGAAAATGATAAAAAAGAAAAACATTTCTTTTTTTTGGCGCAACATTAAAAAACCCCATAGGCAAAAGTAGTTAATTTACTGCGATTGTTTCTAATGAACATTAATACTTCCTTCAATTACTAAATTACTACAATAACTGTATTTTGAAAACTTTTGTGTAGATTCCATTTGTTTATAACTCGCGTTTCACGATGTAGGGATGTAGTAGGAAACACGATCGAGACGTAGTTGATTTAGTAGTGTTTCTCCTACTTCTTGAGCGCTCTAGCCGCCTTCTAAGGTAATGAATATCTATGAAGTCTACAATAGGGCGAAGAAAGTGAATCGCCAGATGGCTATAACAATAATATCGCATCAGACCGTCGCATGTTTCAGTCAGGGACTTTATCAAGTTTGGGGCTGTTATACTACATACATGTATACTGTTAAGACTTCCATTATATTTAGGGCTAAAACCGATTACACATGTAATTAGACCCTTTATTACATCTAGGGCCAAAAGTTATTACATTTAGGAACTTTATTACATTTAGGGCCAAAAGTTATTACACTTAGGATCTTTATTACATTTAGGGTCATTTATTACATTTGAGGCCTCAACAGAGGACCCTGCAAACGTGGTTGGTTCTCATCCCAGTCAGCGCGATTGCAAACAACGACATTCTCGCAGTCTATGTATTTATAGGCAGGAATTTTTAACATCGGTCATAAAAGGTCAACCATAAAAATGTTCTAGCGAAACTGGGCATGAGGAGGAGCTTGTTGGGCCTTCACGTGACTTCTCATGGCTGAGGGCTCCCTTGCAACCTTTTTTCGATCTTGAAAAGGGTTTTAGAGGCCGAAATTGACAAAACGTAACAACTCTTTCAAAAAACAGAATTTTCTTCTTTAGGTCTCTGTTAACTGCAAGGGATTGAAAATAATCGTTATGTACCACAGAAAAGCCAGAAGTCAAGAGCTCTTTTTGTTCCTCCCATCAGGTTAAACGATACATATGCCGTTTTCATATTGGCCTGCTACTGAAATGTTACATACATACATCACTGCCATTAAATAGTGAAAACAATAATTAGACCATGAATGCAGCTGAGGGGGAAGAGTTGGATTCTTCATTCAGAAACTCCTCTACTTTAGCTTCCATACTTGCACGGTAACCTTCCCTGTGATACGCTGAAAACATACTTGGAGTAAAAAACTGATTATTTGTTGAATGCTGAGGAAAGGCCTCGCACATCGCTTCAGAGAAACCACAATATGCATTTCCATGGCAACATTCGCAGCAACAAAATGTTAATCGGTTGGCTTCTTCGGCCTTTAATTCGGGCCCGTTTCCCCACTGATCTGCAGGTAGTTCAACACTTATGTCATGCAGTGCGTCCTTCCACGTCACATACTCTTTAGTTTTCACAGCTTTGCTAGGATGTCTGGGAGCAATGTACAGAATTTCACCTTCCTCGACCTTGGTTTTCCCTTCACTGTCATTATTTTTTTGGTAGTATTGCACTTTGAATCTGGCAAATTTAGGGATACAAAGAGGTGTTAGTTGCAAACAAGGGGCATTATATAACGTGTGAAAACCTGCATTCCTCTCGCAGAGGAATGGATGACTCTGCAGACAGGACTGGCTTCCATGCCAGTTTTTTCCATCTTATTGTATGGGTTTAACTTTCGTTTTATTTAGGAAACAGCCTTTCAGATTGGATTAACATATCCATTTTGCATGACATGGCATGGAATGTTTACAGCAGGCTTCATTCAATTATACGTTGAACGGAATATGCCGTTGAGATCGTGGTTAAACGCAGGGGTATTAAGAATTTGATACAAGCAAATAAAAGCTTGCGTTATTCACATAACGTTTTAGACAAAAAAGCGGAAGTGACGTCTCTTGTGCAGTACAAGATAACGTAATATCGAAGCCAAATTGAGCTTACGGTTCGAGGTATGATGTAAGATTATTTATTCGTTTTAATCAATTCCATGTCGAGTGGGATCTTTTTATACAACCGAACCCTTTCCGGGTTTTACTTCTACCCCCGGGGGGTACTTTAGGAATTTCTGGGTGGGGATGTGCCGCTGGGACCCTGGAACCCTTAACCTATACCAGAGCTAGTTCAGCTGAATTTTGCTACCCTATACTAGAGTAAATTCCCCAAATTCCCCTATCCTAGAGTAGCTGTTTACCTTGTCTAGACAAAATCTTCAACCAACTGATCAGTTTCCTGAAAAATGATACCCTATTCTAGACCCAAACGCTCTGATTTATATACCCTATCCTAGAGTAAACTGCTTGAAAACCATACCCTTCACAGCGGCACATACCTATATAGCCCATATATGGCAGTACCCCCCCGGGCTTCTACCCCAAAGAAAACCTATGCAGGTACCAAAGAATTCAAGAAACTATTTCATTTATTATTGCGTAAGGAAAAGAAAATTAAGGAACTCATTTTACTGGGGTAGGAAATCATTAAATGTGCAGCTAGCGAGCTCGTTGTTCGAGCATTCATTTCACATTCTTTTCATACCCATTTCCGACAGTTTTGATACACACCTGTAACTTGATGGCTGTGATCCAGGCATTCTCTCAACAAACTTCTCTCGAATATCTTCAGCAATATCTCGTCCATCCATTCCTGAAAATGAGCAGTCCAACTTCTTCCTGGCCATATTTAAAGCTTCCAAAAGAATGCTTCCATAATCTTCGTCCAGGATGGTCTGTCCACCATCTATGGACACAATTTTCTGCAGCCTCTTCTTTAACAAAGGCAGAATTCCCAGGTTTTCAATATGGCCTCCGTCACTCAGATATATAGAACCGCTGGAGGATTGGGACCTTGGTTGGTAACTTGCAGCGCGTTGCGCACGTAAGTGACAACAGGGATGTTGATAGTAAACCATCTAACAAATGCAACGGAGATCATTGCAGAAAAGATGTGTCTTAATTCAAAAAGCAGTTGCAAAAAGAAAGCCTGAAAACTGGGACTGGAACCTTGACATCTGCGATACCGGTGTAGCGCTTGGTGGCAAGCCATGAATTCGAAGTCATTAAATTGCTTCGTAACATAGTACCCAGGAAGGAGAAAGATCAAGTGATGATCATCGAAAAAAAAAAAAATAAATAACTGATTGTAAAACTGTTATGTTGTATAGGTATCTATTAGTTCATTTGAATATAGATTTGCTTTTATTTGGTTCATTATTCGAATTGTAAAAAAAAACACAGGAGATGATTTTTCAGGGCTATTTGATTCTGTCAGAGTTCTGACACTCGCTCAAAACGTAAACTAAGCTATTGGCGCTCAGGGGACCTATATGAAAATCTTGTAAATTGTAGTGACTATAGTTAAACGACGTAAACAGCTTGTTTATACTCAGTAGATTATACTCTATTTGACACAAGTTTCTTCTTCATAATTAAGCATCATACTTACCTGGCGATTCTCTCCAGTCTTCCGCGATGCTTACTCCCTGTGGGTACAAGTGATATCAATGACAAAACGATCGTAGAGAGTAATATTACGAGAAATCCAGCTAATATGTACGTTCCATTGCGAGTACGGAGATAAGCTGCAAACAAAACTATCAAAGGAACTCCACGGAGCATCTCCATCAAGAACGGCATAATCTAAAAGAAAGAAAAAAACATCAGTGAGCGCAAGATTCCCAGTGAAGGGTTAATTGATAATCATAATTATACTAAAGCTAGTTTTTCTGGACGTTTTCTTGGATAAACTAGGAGTCATTATTATCGTTTATTATATAAACACCAATGAAATACCAAGTGAGCTTTCGCGCGAAAACTTGATATCTTCACATGTGAAAATAACATGTTATCACTCATGTACTTACATGTTGAAATTGTTGTGGTAGACGAATCTTGGAATTAAGGATCTGAATGAGCCTGATTTTCGTTGGGTTCACAAGTGGCCCAAAGTCAATGTGGTGCATGCACTTACCGAAGCCACTTTCATTTCGTAAGGAGTTGCCCAAAATTTTACTGTGCTCTATACGCGTTAAGTTAATCTTTTTGGTGCGACGGGCGAATAATTAATAATAACCTGAGAGTCTAAGAGACAAAAACGTGTGTCTCAAACCTATCGAGACTGGGCTCTTTTAGCGCTCCTGGGTCCGGGGAAGTAACGAATCGAAGCCTCCCCAATCTTTCCCTCATCTTCGCAAATTATAGGGCCAACAAATTTTCACAGAATAAAGTTAACATCATTTTTCAACATAATGACCTAAAGTGGCGCCATTAAGAAGTCATATTTTTCAGTTTATTGGCCAAACCTTTATGCGGCTAACCCATTACTTTTCTAAATTTGATTAAGTTATAAAACGATTGGAACGTGTCCGGTGGCAATCATAAAATAGCTGCGCCTTCATCGCGATCGATGATTTCATTTGTCGTTTAGCCTAGAGCCTGGATCACACTGACTAATATAATAATTTTGATGAAATAATGCTGAGTTAAGTACTGATTTAATTGATCTATACACAAATAGAAAGTTCGCCGAACTGGCTGTCAAACCTGGGTTGAAAGCGAAACGTCAACGTTGACGTACAGGCTGCGACGAGTTACGAATGTTTCCTGAAAACAAATGGGGGAAACGTCGCCAAGTAATTGGCAGTCATAACTTTGAAGGGACCCCAATCTCCAAGAAACTCCCCCCCCCCCCCCCCGCGCGTCCTTGGCCTAGTACCCACACCGCATCAACTTTGCTGGTTGGTAATCTACTGTTGTCCGCGCTGAAAAAAAAAGTAGAATGCAATGTATATATCCTATTGAATGAAAATCCTTACCTGAACGCAGAAGGGCCTCTTTCTCTCGTGTCTTTCATCAGAGACGATTGATGAGCCAGTTGACAACCCAAGGAGTACTTTTAAGTCTTTGAAAGGTTCCTCATCTCCCTGCACGCTTCCCATGTGATAGTTGAGCGCCGACGCAGATGTAGCTACCACATCAGATAGATGCACATCGACAGGCATCAGCTTTCCATGTAGTTCCCCCTCGCTCTGACGGCGGTCAAGACGCTCAATACTTTGCGAACTCATGGTAAGGACTTCGTAGTGAGCTTCTCTAGGAGAAGGTCTTCGTTTCCACTGGTTACTCGTAGTGCACCCTATGTACGTCGGTGTAAACTCATCTAAATCATCTAACGTCAAAGCTTGGTTGGACCTTATGTTTCCTAGTTGACCATTTGGCTGGTAGCAGGTTGGACAGTAAAGGAAAAGGTTTCGCCAGCTGATTCCCTCGCATCCACACTTTCCTACAGTCTTTGGATAGAAAAATGCCTTCTGGATAATCCACCTGCCATGAAGAGAATGTGAATTGCGAAAATTAAATAAAAACTCCCTTAAAGATTCAGTAACAGAAACAAAAAATTGCAAAGACAAATTCCACTAAAATTTATATTTTTTTCATAGTTGGATTCTACTAACAGCACGGCATGGGGTCGTAGGTGACGGACTAGCTCTTCACTCTTACGAGGTGAATTTCGGCGGGTTACGCGCCAGGATGAACAGTTACCCAATCATAACCCCCCCTCCCTATGCTAACACAAAATTTTAAGTGCTAAGGCAACTCACTGTGGGCGCTTTGGCAATTTGGATAGTTGAGACCGGAGTGTCCGTCTTCGATGAATATCGGTGTTTGCATTATGGAGAGTCAAACAAAACGACTGAAGAATCGCAGTGGATAATTTTAAGTGGTAATTTTAGGAAGGTGTCCGTGTAATATAGAGCTGGCGACCAATTGGGGAGAGGTTACTGTAATTCTTTCCAATTTCATAGCGACTAACTCAACATTGCATCAATGATTGGTTAATGCCGTTTAAAAGATCTCATAACGGCTTGATCAAACGCGGGACACTTAGAATTTGCAATCCTGCCCTTCGCCTTTCTCAATAACACCACAAAAAGGCAGTATTTTTTCTAACATTTGTTCTTAGACTGGTTCAACAGTTCCTATAGAAAAAGTTAATAGTGTCTTTTGAAAATCGTACCTTACATAGACATGTCCTAGGCGTTGTTGAATGGTAACCAACGGAGGACCAATCCAATGCAAAAGTATTGATATTCCCAGCAGCAAATCGAACTCTTTCTCGTCAAATACAAAACCCAAAGCGCTCTCCTCGTAGACTCGCCAGAAAACAACAAACGAAATAATGTATATGCCAATCATAAGTGTGGCAATTGTGCGGTTAAGGGGAAAAGAAATCCAAACGAAAAACAGAGGAACAAGAACCAAGATTTTCATCCAAATTGAAAGAACATGAAGAAAATCATTTATGAACCAAGGAAAAAAGACAAGTGCGAAGAAGATGACGCAAAAATAAGTAAAAAATTGAAAAAGCTTTTTTGCCCTTGGAATACAACCGCTAAGAACATGCGAAAGAAAGGCAACCAAGACGGGTGTCATGAACAAGACATATCGATCAAAAATCGCGTCTGGCGACCTTTGCTCTTCCCTGCACTGTTTGATGGTTATGTTTGGGTTGTTTTGAATTTGTTGGGAACACGACTGATCAGCACCTCTGAGAATGCTGCCAAATAGGAAGTCTATAACATAAGCCAAAGGAAACGCTATCGAAGCCGAGAGAAGCACAGGTACAATAACAGACACAAAGATTAGAACAGCGATTAAGGCCATAAACTCCAGGACCGCTTTACATGGCCTTTGACAATGACAGATCAACCCTGCTTCTTGCCTCATGTGGTTGAAAAAATCCTGATGCCATTTCTTGTCATCCTTTTTATCATGTCTATATTTCCAATCAACGTAAGCGGATCCTGTGTAACCGCCTCCAGAAACGCAGCTCAGAAAGTCTATCTTAACGTTCTTTTGAAGAAGTCTCCGTAGGGCTCCTGAACAGAAAGCTGCTGACCGAATTCCTCCACCAGAAAATGCTACTCCTATTTGCGCCATTTTTATTGAAGATTGATTGATGTTTGTTTTGCCTGCAAACATTGAAAACGTAAGGTAGGTGAACATGCCATAGAGGGACAAAAAGTCAATTACCCTTAGTCTCCCCTTGCAGCTGAACACGAAAGGCGCCGGTACTGTCTGTCACCAGAGAGCTAAAGAAAGATTTATGGACGACACACGACCAGAAATAAAGTGACTTGACGTCTCTCTCACTCCAGTTCCTGGCAAACCAAAGACAAAAGACCCTGGCCATGGACAAGTTTTAGGGTGTCTTTTTGGCCCTATTTACATCTGGATTTTTTTCATTATCAACTTCTTGAGATCGTGAAAGGCGGCTGCGGAGGTTTGTCTTAAATGTAACTTTTAAACTGTTCCTGATTCTGACAGTATGTACTTATAATTTATCACATCTAGGTATAGTTTGATTAACGCAACGTCATATGTGACGTCATTAGGACTTTAAACTTTAAAATTCATTGGCAGAAGTAATATTTCTCAATTCTCTCCTCTAATGATGGATATAAACTGAAAAGCACATACACAGGAACCTATCTGAGTGTCTGTTATATTAAAATTTTGAAATTTAGTAACTTATTTATTACCTCTGGCAATTAGTCAGTCTGAGTTCGTAATCATAACAAACAATATTCTTTGGTGTTGCATCCAGACGCATTAAATAATAATAAGAATAAGAATAATATAACAATAATGGAAACTTTATTTGTGGTTTTGAATGTACAATTATAAATCTCGTTACGTATAGGCAATTTACAAATGCTGCTTGAGATTGGATTATTAAAAAGAAAAACAAAAAACTAAAAACTAAAAAAACAAAAACCAAAAAAAAATTTAAAACAAAAACAAAAACAACACAAAACAAAATAATTAAAATTGCATTAAGTCTGGGCTATCCCAGTTGCTATTTCTACAACAAAAGATGTAATATGTTGCTCTAATGGCTATATTTATCATTTTCTTGATTATATAACGTTGCTGCTTTTTGTCAATGCCAATGTCACTCATCATGTCTCAGAACGTGGAAAATTCATTGGAGAAAACGCCAGGGGAACTCATGGAGAGATTTATAAATCTCAGACATCTGTAATTTCTACTCATTTCGTTGATCAAGTTCAGATATTTTTCTTTCTTACGCATTGCATTGTTGTTAATAATAATAATAATAATGATAATAATAATAATAGTAATAATAATAATAATAATGAAAATTATAATTATCATAAAAACTATCCCAGAATCCTTTGAGGCAATTTATTAATGCTTTATAACTTTGGCAATTTTATACGTAGAAGAATGTCAGACCACAACAGGATAACATTTGCCACAAATTATTTTCTCATGTCACATCTAGGGTGATGACGTCTCAGTCACAGCAACAAAAAACCCTAATTCAGCAATGGTCACGTGACTGATGGCGTCATCACCCTAGATGTGACATAAGAAGATGATTTAATTTCATTGGGCTAAAATAAAATGGCATATATATTTGAGGTTTTGGTTGTGTGGAAAATTTAAAATTTAAGGAGGCAATGAACATGAGCGAAAATGTCGGGAAACTAGGCCGAGGGCTTTAGAACGTTGACGTTTCATCACACGGCAGAGAACTGATTTGCAGGAAAGTAATGTTCTACCTGACAATTTTTTTCGTAACTGAAAGAAGGACATGACGTCATCAGTCACGTGATCAGAGAGTTCTGAATGTTTTAGTTCGTTTTTAAAGTGCATTTTTCGCCATAAATCTGCAAGTTTTTGTTGTTTTTCTCTACAAATCTTTACACTGTATTACCCCTGAGTAATTATTATTCCAGTTTCAAAGCAGAAGCAAACGAAAGCTGAACCAGAAGTTTAAAAGTTGCGTAAATCGACCGATATGGCAAATTAAAATCGAAAAGGAGACCTACTTATGAGACTTTCGTAAAATCCTTTTTCAACTTAACTGTTTGTTTGCCGAAATAAATCTTCAACGTCTGTTAATAAGGAGAACTTTTAAAGCTAAAAGGATGTATTTGGTGGCCATAGTGTTTTTCTTCCTTCTGGGGAGAGAGATCATGTAGCAGTTCTTCTAACGCTAAAAGCCAAATGGTTTGCTACCCTAACCTAAAACAGTGGGAATAATGGTAAACAATGTTGTGTTAATGTTTTCCCTGACCGATGAAAAGACACCCCACGAACAGGGAGAGAATCGTACGGTCATACTGTTCAGTCGGTAGCCGCGAGATCGATAATTCATAAACTTCTTAAACGTTCCCCGGCATGGACCAAGCCTGAAAGAGTATTAATGGGTTTATTGTGAGCTTTACGTCTGGCTTTGATCAGTTAAAGATTTAATATCTACACGGAAACCGAAAATAAACATCCTTGAAAACTGTCAATCACAATAGAAAAGGATTATATACCTCTTTTATATACTTTTTTGGGAAATGATTTTATTTGCTTCAAGTTTAACCTAACAGGAACCTTATAATATGCAGATGTACCTTAACTGGAAAAATAACGCAGTTGCAACCGGTTGCACAAAAGCAGCTATAGACAGTACACTTGGTCTTGCATGTGAAGTCTTTCCCCGTACAGGAAGCCGACTTTAGCTCCCAAGCAAGGGTTAACTTTACCAAAAATCGAAACGATATAAGAGGGTCATGATTCCAAAGTACGATTTAAGCGATTTTATTTTCATGGTCACTGCACTCGTATTTCATCAACATGCAAGTAAGCGTCAACAAAAAAAACTTATTTTGCAGGCATGAACGTCTCTTAAGGGGAAAAAAAAAGTAAGAAAACAAAAGCAATACAAATAAAGAAAGAAATTGGAAAAAAAACAAAACAAAGCAAAACAAAACCAAAAAAATGTTCTAAACTGTTTTGGCAGGGCAGCAAACAAGTTTCGGAGTGAGTTCATGGACAAAAAATATGGAAAGCTAGCAGGGCATACTCTGGTGAAATGGTCAAAGCCATCGCTGACTCTAGACCGGTGCATTTTAATGCGTAACGTGACCATTTGTTTTGCCATTTGAGAGGCAGTTATAGCGGAGCTCTGGCGCGCGAAGCGCGCCAGCGGAGCACCATGGGTAAGAAAATGAAGTAATCAACCCATCCGAGAAAATTTGGTAATCACGTGACCGTAAACCGACCGACCGCCCGCCCGAGAGACCGTCCGTCCGCAACTCAGGCATACCAATGTCAAATAACTCAATCAACATGCAGGTATGGCAACCCAAATGCAACTCAAGGTTATTTTGGTGGGAATTCGTATAGCCACCTGCGTCTTGTGAAGCAGAGACAACAAAAGAGTCAACAAAGACGAAAACGGAAAGCGGAAATTGTTTCTGTATCCGTGTTGTCTAAAGTATTAAGCTTAGTTAAACTGTCATGTCCACAAATTTGGAATATAGAGTAAGAGAAAGACAGAGAAAAAGAGAAAGTGGTGCGACAGGCCAGCGAAACTCAACGAGGAAAAGGGCGACAGAGATTTAGAGCAGAGAGATAAAAAACAAAGGAGACATTTTTTGTTGGAAGAACAACATGGAAATTTTGTAGCGGCGGTGACAAAATGACAAATGCTAGCGGCCACCAATGCAAGGTGAAAATGAGCGGCAGTGAAAAGGAGTGAACGAGAACGAGTACGACATTTTCACCATAAAACGTGTAACTAAGAAATTTCTAGAAGTTTCACGTTGAAGTCGTACAAAACAAAGGGAGAGAGATGTACAAAACAAGAGTGCTGCACGTGCAAATTAAAGTTGCTTTTTTGCTAATTAGACTTATTGTTGTTTTTCAGCGTTTTCCGCCGCTTAGCATTACACGATTTTATATTTTGTTTGAACAAACTATAAATATTATCGAGAGCTTCGCGTTTAGCCCTAGCTAAATCTATATATTACGTAGCAACGTATTTACTTTCCGAGTCGCTGGGGCGAAATGATACTTATTTCATACATACTGAGTGATTCTGTTTGAGTCAACCTGAGTGAAACATGGTTTGCGCCTTTATTCAACCAATCAGAAAAACGAAACGGCCTTTCCACGTGTGAGTAGAACGTTTCGACCAATCACAGCGCACCCCCGAAAAGCAACTGTGTTTTCGGTAGCTTTGTGTTTTCATTAAAGGTCTTATTCTGGCACCTTT